TTTCAGTATTTTTAATGAAATGTGAACTTATGTTTATTGATTCAAGATAATTTACAACTGGGGTGCTCAAAGTTCTATTCTTTTTCCTTATCCAGTTTTTGTTACAAGGTAAAATTCCCCTTTTGAGTAAAATTTATCGATGTCGAGTGTTAACAAAGCAAAAAATAAAAGTGACTCCTAGACAGAAAAATATAAATCGTGGGAGTTATACGATGAATCGGGTGTTAGAGAATGTGTTCCTGGATCCCCAATTTTGGAGGGTGCTTTGCTGTTTCAATTATTGCGAGGTTTTTTGGATAATAAAGTAGAGGTGGTGGTATTTAAACAGTTTGGTCTTAATCTGTGACTTTTTAACAGCTTGAAGCACGTGCCTGGCTTCATAGAGAGAGCAGAAGAGCTGAAAGGAAAGGGTGTGGATGAAATCATCTGTATCAGTGGTAAGTATAAAGGATGAACACATCACTCTTTTTACTACTTTAATGTGCAATTCAATAACAGTATTAGCATAAAAATATGAAATGGGTTGCTGATTGGTTAATTTGAGTCGGAATGGTTAATTGCTCAATCAATTGATACTGATGGTTTAGTGTGTTGTGGTATGTGTTGACCTGTGTTTGAAAAATCTTCCCAATTCTTAGTGTTGCATGGTTTAATCTAAACTTCCAACAAGTTACTTGTCTAGAAAGTTGAAATTCACCAACATTTTTGCTCTTCTTGAGCCCAGAAGACTCCTCCAAGGCTCCAATATACCAGGTTTCTTTGTAAAAATGGATTCCTAAATCCAAATAGCTCGTTGTCTGGTTGTTAATATACGAACCAACCACTGATTGTTGATTTGTTCTTATCATCTTTAAAACTGGAAAAGCTTGCATGCAATGACTTTGAATTTGAAATTGTTTAATCCACAACTATGATGAATAAATGACCTTGGTTATTTACTCTCCTCATCTTCTTCTGTTATATAGATTAAATTGTAGAACACTTTATGACAGACACTTGGTGAATAATGAGTTAAATCGTGATCATGATGCAAGTAACGAAAGTGTTTGTGAAGTGGCTAATTTGAAGTTTGGTTTGATTATGTTGCAGTGAATGACCCCTTTGTGATGAACTCATGGGCGAAAACTTTCCCAGAGAACAAGCATGTGAAGTTTCTTGCAGATGGTGCTGCGAAATACACCAATGCACTTGGGCTTGAGCTTGACCTGACAGAGAAGGGGCTTGGTGTTAGGTCTAGGAGGTTTGCTCTGCTGGTGGAAGACCTGAAGGTGAAGGTTGCCAATGTTGAAAATGCAGGAGAGTTCACTGTCTCCAGTGCTGAAGATATCATCAAGGCTCTTTAAACCCTTCAGTTGTGGCTTAGGAACCGTTGTTCTTTCATGTTCCTGTGACTCTTTTGATGCCAAAACTTTCAGTACAAACATTTTCATAGATGTAATTGTGTTGTGTGCTTTTACAAGGGCATGATGTGGTGCATGCTATGGAAATAAATAAACTTTTTAGCTTCAAGTGTTTTGGGGTGTTGCTGTTTAAAAACAACTCACATCAGTATCATGTTTCACTTCTTTCTGCCATTCATTACTCAGTCTACGATTTGCTGTTTTCTGGTGAAAGAAATAGTGTAAGTGGGATATGAAAACAATTAAACCTAAGAAAACATAAGGTATCTTTCCTACACAAAATCATGAAAGACGAGGAATAAAATAAAACATGGTAGAGTCCATGAATTTTAGCTCTTTTTCTCTTAATTCTCTATCAAACAAAATAGGGAAAATATTTAAAGTTCTTCTCTAATCTCTCCTTAATTATTTTTTTGACAACATAAACTTATTAAATAAGCAACAACTTGCAGACATTAATTCAATTTACTGTGAGTTAAGAGAACTCTTAAATGTACTGACAGTGCTCTGTTTCAAAACGCATAGCGTTAATGGTAAATTATAAATGAACTTGTTTGATTAGATTTCTTTTTGGTAAAGTATACTTAGAAAAAAAATTTCACAAGATGTATTTTATTATGACAACAGTTACAAATAAAAATTTTAAGTTCATCATAAATTTAGATAATTTTAATTAAATTATTATTTAAAAAAATATATATGTTGAGTATTTAAACTTTTTATATGCTTTAATTGAATCCGTATCATTTAATTTCTTTCTTACTTAAGTGTTTCATATAATAAATCAAATTCTACAATGTATTATAATATAATTTCTATATTTAAAATAACGTTTTATTTATTTTTTATACAAACTATTTCATAATTTAATTTAGAGATGAAATATAATTTTTTATAATAATTTAAAGAACATATATTATATCCATTTTTAAAAGAATATTTACAGTTCGTACAACCATGTATTTTACAAACAAGTTCACGTGTTACATCGTAAATTAGTAGGATCTGGAGATTTGTGTTGACTGCATTAAAAAATATATGAACACATATTGTTATTTTATTCACATTAAGTTTGTGTCACTCTTATTTATTTTTTATATAGTTAGTTATAGATTAATTGAAATTATAGTATTAATAAATATTTTTTTCTTGTTTTATGCCATAGACATTATGTAATTATAAGAAATTAGGTTGTTACTTTGAATGTGTATTAAGTATTTTAAAGTAAATCACAAGATTTTGAAAATTTTCAAAATATATTTACTCTTTTTGTTATTTTTTTATATTATTATTATTATTATTAAAATTTCTATTATTTATATTTTTTTAAATTAAAGAAATGTGCTTAAAGTATAAAATATGATGTAATATTTTTAAAGATTAAAATTTTTTTTGCTTGAAAAGTTACTAAAAATAATTTAAATTAAATTATTGTTGTATCATATGATCGTAAAGTTTTCGAGAACCGTGAAATATTAAGTTTAAGTAAATTGAATGAAGTGGTTTTAAAATCTATAAATACAGAAAGTAAGTAATTGAATTTATTAAAAATTCAAGATTGTCATGTAATATTTTATTGGATATATTTAACTTAATTGAATATCAAATTGTGTTTAACATATATTCATTCACTCAGCTTAGAAACTGAAGATGAAAAACTAAAAACAATTATAATGATGATTTAAGATAATATTTAAAGAGAAAAATAATTATTTTATTTTAAAGATGAAGCATAGTTTTGTATAATAATTTGATTATAAAAAAATATTTAATCTTATTTTTTAAATATTAGAATAATTTTATCTAAAATTATATAATTTGAAGCAACCTCAAAAAAGCTTAACGAAATATTTTAATACCGAAATAATCAAACGGTCTCGATGGTCTCATGATGAGTGTCTCGATGGTCTCATGATGAAGTATTGATGAATTTTAATTTATTATCTGCAGTGTTTGAGATTGGGAGAAAACAACAACTTCAAACGGTTCAATACATTTGAATATGTCATTTGTTTTCTATTATTATCATTATTAATAATAATAATAATAATAATAATATGATAATGATATTTTTGATAATATTTTTTTAATAATATTTTAATATTATTTATATGTCAGTCTGTAATTGATCGTGTTTATAATTATTATTGATTGTTGAATAATTTTGGATCAATCACGTAATAACATATAAATTAAAATATTATAAAAAAAATGTTGTGAAAATATCGTATATAATACGTTGTTGTAGTTTAACATGATTCTCATCATCATTTTCTCTTTCTTCACGAAAATTGAGATTAAGAGCTGGATTAATAGTTAATACACCGAAATAAGTGAAAAGCATATTATGTATAGAAATTGGTGTTTGAAAATAAATGAAAAAGTATTGACATGTGTGCGTTTTGTTAGTCGTTTGTGTTCTGTCACTACTGCACACAACAACTTTATTCATGTCTCAAAACTGGAATTCTTCTTCTCCAAGTAATCATCGGTCAAAATCGAGTTTGCCGAGAAAACAGTACAACAATTTAATATTTTTTTATGCACTGATTAATTCTAAATAAATTTTGAAAAAATCATAATTTAATAATACAAATATTTATTATTTGTTTAGCCTATTATTACGTAATTTTTTGTAAAAAAAATTATCATTTACTGAATTTATAATTCTATCTGTTATGAAATTAGTTTCTGTATATTATATCTAAGCATAAGTAATATATATTAAAAGTTCTATATTAACTAATAACATTTACAATATATAAATTTTATCTTAAAAATTAATTTAATTTAACATGTTCAACTAAACTTAAAATTAAGTTCTTTTAGTTTTTCGGCATTTTTTATGAATTAAATATATTTTTTGTTTTTTATTTTTAAGTAAAATTTGGGATTAATTATATTTAAAATTTTGATTTAATTTAATTTTTCACTTAAAAAAATGTGTGGATTTAATTTTTTTAACTATATTTTAAATGATTTATTTAGAGATATTTTATAATAGTATTTGAGTTATTTATCTTTGATACATTTAATAAAAATGTTTTAAAAATTAAATATACTTAATAAAATCTAATTTAAAAGACTAAATCCATACACTTTTAAAAATAAGAAACTAAATTTATTTAAAATTTTCAAAAGAAAATTTAATTATCATTTACTGAAACTTAAAAAATAAAAACATATTTAACTTCTTTTTTTATTAAACGAAATAAGGATAAACTAAGAAAAGAATAAAGAATTAGCATTATATTGAAATTATTTGCAATATGATTGTTAGCAGGCGCAGGTTACAGTTGGAATGTGAAACAGTGATTTGAATTTGGTGCAGAAAGTAGTGTATGGTGGAGCAAGTAAAGAGCAGTAATCAGTCACTAATGAGATGTAGTTGGAAACCAACAAATGAAGAGGTTTGGCTTAGCATGCATAGGTACCGTTTGATAGAGGGCCCCAGTGGATGATTCAAAAATATTTCTGTTGGATTTGAAATTTATTGAGTGGGACGAAAAAGTGAGCAACAGCAACGAACACAGCACCATTTGACTAAACTAAAACTAAGCTATTACTATATAATATGCATTGCAGCTCAACCCTTTTCTCTCTCACCATTTTTATATTTCTTGTTTCTTGAAACTATAAGGAGGCTATTTATCTATCTCATCTCACACAACCTTCAATGTAAACAGAGAGACCACACTTTCTTAGTTCCAAACTCAACTTTTGAGGCTCTTTTATGCCTTGTTCTGTTGCAGCTCAACCTTAGTTTACTTAGCAGTTTTCATACCATGAATGCTTCAAAGTTCATTAAATGTGTCACCGTTGGAGATGGGGCTGTTGGGAAAACCTGCATGCTCATTTGCTACACCAGCAACAAGTTCCCCACTGTAAGTCTCTTTGGAAAACTCACACCCCTCCATCAAAGATGCTTCTTTTATTCATCAGACTCTCTTTTTCTTTTACCATTTTGTAACCTTGGAGGTGTTTCGTGTGAAAGGTGCTTTCTATTCAAACTCACACTGTATTGGTATCTGGGCTTCAATGTGTTGATGTGTTTCATTATCTTTGTTTTATCTGTCCAGGATTCAAATGTTGGTGATGAAACCCTTCTCTTTTTATTTATCATCTAGCTCACTATTTTTTTCTTTTCTCTTTTGTTTTTGGGTTGCAGGATTACATACCGACAGTATTTGATAATTTTAGTGCCAATGTTGCTGTGGATGGAAGTATTGTGAATTTGGGGCTATGGGACACAGCAGGTACTGGGAGCTTCCCACTTGAGTCTTCATTTTCCAAAATCTGTGTTTTGATTGTTCACCATCCTTTAACTCTGGATACACTTTTCACTGTTTTAAAAGGCCAGGAAGACTATAGCAGGTTGAGGCCACTGAGCTACAGAGGAGCAGACATTTTTGTCTTAGCATTCTCACTGATTAGCAGAGCTAGCTATGAAAATGTTCTCAAGAAGGTTCGTATTTATCTTTTCTTTCTCTTGTTTTGTATGTTATTTCCTCTCTCTAGTTTTGGATTCAACTTTGCAGAAAGTGAGTCTTTTCTTTAGCCTTTCTATGGATGAGGGGACAAGATGGGATGAAAGGAAAACAGAAATTAAAGAATTAAGTTTATGATGGAAAATTGAAAAATATTTTTTCTCTGGGACTGCACATAAAACAGAAATGAAGGGAAACATTTTCTATATTATTGTGTACTTCCTTTTTCAAGTTTCTGAAAAAATGTCGTTTGCAACAGTTGTGTTATGTAGTATCCCTTTCCCAATGTTAAAGTGTACAATTCAATTTTTGATATTTTAGAAGAACTGTCTTTCATAAGCTATTAAAGTATTTAAACCAATAACGAAAGTGTACAGCATATATCAATAGGTTTAACATTAAAATAAGATCACAGGACAGAGAAATCAAGTTGCATAATGAGAGTGGTTGGTTGAAAGCAGCTACAATGATCACTGGTTTATGTTTACTCTTCGGTCTTTGATTGATATTAGCCCCAATGTCTCTGTTGACTTTTGGCTATTGATGGCTGCATAAAGAGCGGGAAAAGAAAATCACCATAGAAAATTAAAGAGGAGAAAAGCTAGAAACAGGAACGATGTAAAGAGACAGTGGAACAAACAGGTTCAATCTAATTCATAAAAAATTATACACAAGAATTTTAGCAAGCAACTGAATTAATAAACAGTTATTTTATATTTCATAACAACTCTATTTCAATGAAATTTTGAAAAATGGAGAATTTTTTTCTTAAGATGATATTTCTATGCCCATATTCCAGCAAAGTCTAAGTCTGTAGCTGTTAGATTATTGTTTAGGTATGTATGTGGCTTTACTTCTATAGAACATGCACATTTTCATTGTATTAGGCTATTAGGAGTTATCAATAATGGACAGTTTTCAACAGAGCATTTATGTGCTCTTAAACTTTTGCATTAATGCCCCCATAACTCATTTCTGCATTCCTTCTTTTCTCTTTCAGTGGATGCCAGAACTGCGTAGATTTGCACCTAATGTTCCAATTGTTCTTGTTGGTACAAAGTTAGGTAAGCAGCAGCACAGGCAAAAATTTGTAATTTTTAACGTTAATTTTAGAGGGAAGAAGTTAATGACATAAAGTACTGAATTGTTGGTTTTAGATCTCCGTGAAGACCGGGGTTATCTGGCTGATCACATGGGATCTAATGTCATAACATCTGCTGAGGTTTACATTTTTAATTTGCTTCCTTCATTTTATTTTGTGATAAGTATGAAGCAAATTATGTATTATGTTTAGAAGTAAAGAAAATGATACCGTTTATCAATCATGGCACATTGCTAATAGGGGGAAGAACTGAGGAAACAAATAGGTGCAGCAGCTTACATTGAGTGCAGTTCAAAGACTCAACAGGTAGTAGGTTTAAATTTAACTATTTTAGTTTTTATGCACTACTCATTGTTGCTGTGACTTAAACTTATTGCTGTATTTGCATGATTTAGAATGTCAAAGCAGTGTTTGATACTGCAATTAAAGTTGTGCTTCAACCTCCAAGGAGGAAAGAAATGGCTAGGAAGAAAAGGCATAGAAGGTCTGGTTGCTCGTTTGTGTAAGTCCCTTACTCTACTTTTGAAGCATTCTTAAAACCATTGATCTCTCAAAGCATTTGGTGGGTGGAATTCATGATATGATGTGTGTAGTTTGAGAGACTTTCCTGATGTAGAAACGAAATTGCTAGGCTAGGTGATGTTGCTGCTTATGCAGTGAAATCCTGCTATGATTGAACAAAGATATAAATAGGCTTTGATACCCCCAAAAAAGGAAAGAAAAGAAAAACACTGCAAAAGAAGACAACGGCACTGAAGTAGCATTGAATAGAGTGGGATTAAGATCATTCCCTCTGAAAGAGCATTTGATGAATGCCCTTGACCTTAGATCACTACTCAAGCTTGGTGCATCTTGGGATGGAATAGGAGAAGCCCATAACATGTTATTTTACTTGCAAATTTCTATCATGCCTGCTGAAATTTTATGCGACAAGAACATGATTTATCCTCCAGAGACATTTAACTATGTATGTTAACATGTCTTTTTTACTGTCTGACAGAAGTATTGTGTGTGGAGGTTGTGCTGCTTAACACATCTATTGCACCGTCACTTTTGATATGGATGTTATTTTGCAAAAGCTTCAAGGTCCAAGTGTGGAAACCTGACATCTAATCACAATTTCAGAATGTGTGTACCCTTATGCTTGTATTGTAACTGGTGTAAGATAGTAATATCTAGTTATTTCCTCTTCACAAGGCCACTGAAGGGAATTTTTCATTCTCTCAGTTGTTATTTAGGCATGTTATGATGTATTTATCATTATATTACCAAATCATAATGGGAACCTTTGTATTTTTCCTTCATTTGCTTCATGCCCCTATAAAACTTTTCGGAGGGTATAATATATAATTATATAATGATATAATGACATCCTAGAAAACTATGCAGAACAATTTCTCATTCCTTGGCATTTTGCATTATCCACTTATGACCTTTTCTGAGTTTGCACTGCCTTTCATGTGTTGGTTGTTATGAGTATTGAATCTGAGTGCATTTATGGTTGCAGTAGTCTGGTACTTTTGGTTAGGAGAAGTATAAATGAGAAGTGAGAGAGAGTCTCTGATGAATCTCCTGCAGCCTGCAAAGCCTGTGTTTTACTTTTTAAAGTCACTGGTCCTTTTTGGTGAGTTTGAAAGGGTGGCAGAAAGGGGTGTGTGGGCTTTTGGCAATGACTGGTGCTTGGTTTACCTCTTCGAGGAGCCCATGTGATCACTTGTCTTCATTGCTGTAGGGCCTGTGCCACCTTCGGGGAGTTATGTCTCATGTGCCAACAACTTCTGAGGACCCCACACAACCTCATCATACTCATGGTGCTCTGTCGTAAATAACAAAGTGGGGACATCATTTTTGAAAAGTTAGATTATTCATGCATGGTTTTAGTAACGATATTTTGACAAAATTTTAATATCATCTATGTGTTATTCAGTGATCGGTTTATATAAGTGTTTATGATTATTATTATTGATTGTGGAGTAATTTTGGACCAATCACAGAATGACACATATTAAAATTATTGTCAAAATACGTTATCCTTTTAGTAACACAAGAGTTAACTTGAAAACTACAATTGGAATCTATCATCTATGTTTGTTCAAATTAATAAAAGTAGATAAGTTTAGATATCGTTTTTTATATAGACTTGCATTCTTAAGAAAATGATGTACATTTTCATAATATTTGAACAAATTTGTTCAACATATATAAAAAAGACATCAAATTAGACCTATTTTAATTAAGCACAGAGTTTTTAGTTTGTAGAGCCGTAATTGTTTTAAGTTCTGTTTTCTAACAGATGGTCATGGATTTCAAAGATGCATTACAGAGTTTGTGAACAGCGTGCAAATTGATTCTTTTATGAAGAAAACTGTGACATGGTTCTGGCAGTCAAAGATAGAGGGAAGAGATATGGTGGAGACTTTAGATTCATGTCTTCTCCATACAGTTAAAAGTACTCTGTGATTTCTAATCATGTCACCTCTTTTGTGAGCAATAATAAATGATGGAGCATCAAAGCATGTTTCACAGAACAATGTATATTATTCTCATGTCTTCAGTAATCTAGGAATCAATGTTTTCAATCTCTTCCTTGCTTTTAGCAGATTACTACATAATAGGCTCAAATAACAAAAAAAAAAGAAAGAAAAAAGAACACCACGCGCATTTCATGCATGGCTTTCTGGGAGTATACTACAATTGAAAAATTATACTGGTGATCAAATTTAAAGTTTTACTTTATTTGTATGAAAAATTGAAAACAAACTTTANACTTCTTGAGCCCAGAAGACTCCTCCAAGGCTCCAATATACCAGGTTTCTTTGTAAAAATGGATTCCTAAATCCAAATAGCTCGTTGTCTGGTTGTTAATATACTAACCAACCACTGATTGTTGATTTGTTCTTAATCATCTTTAAAACTGGAAAAGCTTGCATGCAATGATTTTGAATTTGAAATTGTTTAATCCACAACTATGATGAATAAATGACCTTGGTTATTTACTCTCCTAATCTTCTTCTGTTATATAGATTAAATTGTAGAACACTTTATGACAGACACTTGGTGAATAATGAGTTAAATCGTGATCATGATGCAAGTAACGAAAGTGTTTGTGAAGTGGCTAATTTGAAGTTTGGTTTGATTATGTTGCAGTGAATGACCCCTTTGTGATGAACTCATGGGCGAAAACTTTCCCAGAGAACAAGCATGTGAAGTTTCTTGCAGATGGTGCTGCGAAATACACCAATGCACTTGGGCTTGAGCTTGACCTGACAGAGAAGGGGCTTGGTGTTAGGTCTAGGAGGTTTGCTCTGCTGGTGGAAGACCTGAAGGTGAAGGTTGCCAATGTTGAAAATGCAGGAGAGTTCACTGTCTCCAGTGCTGAAGATATCATCAAGGCTCTTTAAACCCTTCAGTTGTGGCTTAGGAACCGTTGTTCTTTCATGTTCCTGTGACTCTTTTGATGCCAAAACTTTCAGTACAAACATTTTCATAGATGTAATTGTGTTGTGTGCTTTTACAAGGGCATGATGTGGTGCATGCTATGGAAATAAATAAACTTTTTAGCTTCAAGTGTTTTGGGGTGTTGATGTTTAAAAACAACTCACATCAGTATCATGTTTCACTTCTTTCTGCCATTCATTACTCAGTCTACGATTTGCTGTTTTCTGGTGAAAGAAAAAGTGTAAGTGGGATATGAAAACAATTAAACCTAAGAAAACATAAGGTATCTTTCCTACACAAAATCATGAAAGAAGAGGAATAAAATAAAACATGGTAGAGTCCATGAATTTTAGCTCTTTTTCTCTTAATTCTCTATCAAACAAAATAGGGAAAATATTTAAAGTTCTTCTCTAATCTCTCCTTAATTATTTTTTTGCAACATAAACTTATTAAATAAGCAACAACTTGCAGACATTAATTCAATTTACTGTGAGTTAAGAGAACTCTTAAATGTACTGACAGTGCTCTGTTTCAAAACGCATAGCGTTAATGGTAAATTATAAATGAACTTGTTTGATTAGATTTCTTTTTGGTAAAGTATACTTAGAAAAAAATTTACACAAGATGTATTTTATTATGACAACAGTTACAAATAAAAATTTTAATTAAATTTTAAGTTCATCATAAATTTAGATAATTTTAATTAAATTATTATTTAAAAAAATATATATGTTGAGTATTTAAACTTTTTATATGTTTTAATTGAATCTGTATCATTTAATTTCTTTCTTACTTAAGTGTTTCATATAATAAATCAAATTCTACAATGTATTATAATATAATTTCTATATTTAAAATAACGTTTTATTTATTTTTTATACGNCTTAAGGTTTAGCATTTCATTACAATAACTTGAGAATCTGTCAGAACAGCCAGGTTTGTTTCCTGCTCATGCATGCATGTGTTTATTCCTGTTACCTTCTTTTATCTGTTTTCATTCAGAAATTTATAAGTTCTAAAATGTCAATAATAGCATTAGTTTAATCTAATAATAAGGTGTACTAACTATCATCAAACTTTAATACTTCATCAAACTATTAAACTTGTACTGTTTATAATGTTTACAGCTTATGTTTTTCTCCCCAATAATTTTGTAGTTTAGTTTTCAGTTTTTACATATTTTATTAATTAAAAAAATTCGTATTATATATATATATATATATATATATATATATATATATTAATTGTACAAATTTAATTGTGGCCATGCAATTGATAAAATAATGTTGTTCCTTGGAAAAAAATTATGACAAAGCAATATTTGTTTTCGGATGCATGTCAACACTTTTATTACATATTAATAAATTATGCTAAAACTTAAAAGCATAATAACGAACGAATCAGTGAAAAATGAAGGATAATAAAACTCGTAATAATAATAATAATAATAATAATAGTTAACCAGAAAATGTACATGGTGATTAAGTTCTTAGATCAATTGATGAAAAACTATTTATGATATTTTATTTTAAAATTTATGAATTCTCTGTATAATAAAAATAACTTTACTTGATTTTGACCAAAATATCACAGATAATAAAAAATTCTTCAAATATATAGTAGCACGGCTATATATTTACTATAATTTTAATTCAATACTATTAATTAATTGAAACAATTTTATTTAATTGAAAAAAGCTCGAAACTCTGTACCTTTGACGTATTGCCCATCCATCACAAATCAACTATTAATAAATAGTTTGCATCAATTATTTAATAGAATAGCATGTTTTAACGCTATTTTTTCCATGTAATTAGTTATATTTCTAATATTATAAAGTTTTTTCTTTGGTTAATCATGATGCATAGTAAAATTATTTATTGTGCTGGTTATTTTAAAAATTATATAGATAGTATAAAAGAAATATACTAGTAAGAATCACAATTGAGTTTTATGACTGAACATGAGATTAATCAATTTATATTTATGACGTAAAAAACATACTATTTCTTTAAATTATTAGTAATAGTGTATCTGCTAGCTTTTCCGTTTTCAGATTATCACAAATAATGATGTATGATAAGATTATTAGTTCATAATATTTTTTAATTAAATAATAGTTCAAAATTCTTCCACTAACAACACATAAACATTAAAGCTTAAAATTAAATAAAAGTTAAATATGTCTGTAATATTAAACTAACAGTGTGAAAGTTTTACTCTAATCATATACATCAATTATCGTATACATAAATATTTGTTTTATGTTTTAAGTGTGGGAGTCAAAATCATTTGTTTACTGTTTTATAAGTAACCATAAATTTGAACGTGTATTAAATATAATTACTTGATTTTTTATCTTAAAATTGTATTTATAAATTTTTTATTAACAACAATCTAATAATAACTTAAATGATAATAATATTAAATGTAATGTGAATTACAGTTTCAAAAGTAATACATGATTGTACTTATAGTATGCCTAATCGTTTGGATTATCCAATGTTAATCAAACTATATCATACATATTACTTGTTGTAAATTTTTTTTCTAATAACTATGATTTTAGTATTGGTCAACTTTTTATATCAAAAAAATGCTTAATGATTTTTAAAAAGAACATTGTCTTTACTATTGAGATTTAATGTAAAACAAAATTTGATATAAACCAAAGCTGTAAGAAAATATTTATAATTAATACATTACACAAACGGAAAATTATTCAATTGAGTCTTCATAACGTAAATAAAAACTGAAAAAATAAAAGTGTTTGATTATTGATTTCATTGTTGTTTTGGTAAACATATATCAAAGTGATAAAACCAGACAATCCCAAACGTAAAAGAAACATTTTCCTAAATACAACAATTTAGAAAAGGACAAAGCAAAGAAATAGTGTGAAACATTCAGACCCAAAGACCATAGCCATAGTCAACACAGTTTCCTTCGTTCTTCTCAATTCACCAACTAAATTTTTGTAAAACTTTGCGTTGATCACTGATGGATCCTCCGGCCAAGAGTTGGAGCATCCACATACGCTCCGAGATAACTGCCAAGTACGATGTTATTGGTTGGGTCGGGTCGGGTGCCTACGCCGACGTGTACGAAGGACGGCGCCGCTCGGACGGTGCGGTGGTGGCACTGAAGGAGGTGCACGATTCCCAATCGGCGTCTCGCGAAATCGAAGCCCTGCGGATCCTGAAAGGGTCCCAAAACGTGGTCGTTCTGCACGAATTCTTCTGGCGCGAGGACGAGGACGCGGTTCTCGTGCTCGAGTTTCTCGGAACCGACCTCGCCGCCGTGATCGGAAAAGGTGGTGTCGGAGTCGGTGAGGTTAAGAGGTGGATGGTGCAGGCTCTGAGTGCTGTGGATGCGTGCCACCGGAATATGATCGTTCATAGAGACTTAAAACCCGCGAATTTTTTAGTTTCCGATGATGGGGTGCTCAAGTTAGCAGATTTTGGACAGGTTTAAAGGATAAAGTTTTCGACTTCGTTTTAATCTACTTTTGGGTTTTCTGTTTTTTTGTTTTATGGGATTGTGTTGGTTACTTGATCATTACGTGACTTGTTTTTTTCTTTTCTCTTTTTTTATTTGATTATGTTATGTGGTTTGTGTTAATCTATGATCATGGTGATCGATCGTATTTCTGTGGCACAGGCTCATAACCTTGGTTGCAATTTTGATAGTTTTTGTTTTGCTGCTGAAACCTGTAGTCGATGATTCTCTTCTCTATCTAAAGAATTATTTGAATTTGGATCGGGGAAAATGGAATAGAGGTTGATTTTCATGATTTATTGAGCAATAAAAAATCATCTTATATACAACTTCTATGAAACTTTCATGACAATCATCTTCTACCTTTTTCTTTTTGTCTTTGTTTGCTGATATATGTGAATGTTTAGTTTGATTACTTTTTCAGGCAAGGATACTAGTGGAGTGTGGATTCGATGGTCACCAGGAAGATGATGATGCTTCAAATAGTGAAAGATCACTCCAACAACATCCTGAAGCCATTTCCCAGCTAGACAACTTAAATCAAACTGAACATGAAAACCCAGATCAGAGAACCTTGAGTCATGAAGAATATTTCAGAGTTTTAGATGAGATGAAAACCAAGAGCTACTCTTATGACACTGACAAGGAAGCAAATATCCATGATGGAAACACCTCATGTCTTGCAACATGCACAACGAGTGACATAGATGATGAACTTTGCAAAGGTTCTTTTACCTATGAAGCTGAGGAGGTGGGAGGGAATGAACTTGGCTGTCTGACATCATGTGTTGGAACACGCTGGTTTCGGGCTCCTGAGTTACTGTATGGATCCACAGACTATGGTGTAGAGGTTGATCTTTGGTCATTGGGGTGTGTTTTTGCTGAGCTCTTAACATCGAAGCCATTGTTTCCTGGAACAAGTGATGTAGACCAGCTTAGCAGAATTGTGAGTGTTTTGGGGAACATTAATGAGGAAACTTGGCCTGGTTGTCCCAAACTTCCTGATTATGGAAAGATCTCATTTTTCAAGGTGGAAAACCCCAGTGGTCTTGAAGCATGCCTGCCCAATTGCACCCCTGATGAAGTTTCCCTAGTCAAAAGACTGGTTTGCTATGATCCAGATAAGAGAGCCACAGCAATGGAGTTGCTTCAAGACAAGTACTTCAGTGAAGTACCACTTCCTGTTCCAGTTTCTGAGTTGCGGGTTCCTTTGATTAGTATTGGACAAGGCAAGGATCGCCCTGGAGGGCACAATGAAATGGGTTCTGATTCTGATTTGGAGGAGTTTAGAACTTTGAATATCACTACAACTGATTCTGATATTTCTATTCAAATACCTTGAACTCGAAGGATGTGATGCACCTTGAATACTGTTTTATATTTATTTATAAAAAAATGGAATTCAAGTAGCATCAGATTCTTGGGACAGAATTTGTCCTGTGTTCTATTGGTATTTTATTTGCTGAATATCACTAGTGCAATCCGTGGTTGGATTCTTTGGAATAAGAATATCTTTTGGCAAGAATTCTGAAGAAAGGATAAAGTATTTAAAAATAAGCTTTATAATAAAATAGAATTGTTGTTTTACCATGCTCTCATGTAAAATGTTGCTAAGTGCCAAAATCCTGCA